CTGACTGTGTTGGTCAGTGGCTGGATATTATTATTATTATTATTATTATTATTATTTCTCTAGGAAGGGCGTTCCAGAGGCAGGGGCCACCACCGAGAAGGCCCTCTCTCTCGTCCCCACCAACCGTGCTCGTGACGGTGGTGGGAGCGAAAGGAGGGCCTCCCCGGAAGATCTTAAAGTTCGCGCTGGTTCATAAAGTGAGATGCGATTGCAAAGATAGGCTGGATGGCCATCAGTTGAAAGTGCTTTGATTGTGCTTTTCCTGCCTGGCAGACATGGGGCTGGACTAGATGGCCCTTGGGATCTCTTCCAACTCTATTATTATGATTATTATTAATATTAATATTTTTGAGGCTGGATGGCCATCTGTCGGGAGAGCTTTGATTGTGCTTTTTCTATCTGGCACACATGGGGTTGGATTGGATTGCCCATGTGGTCTCTTCCAACTCTATTATTATTACTAGCCATCCCCTGCCACGCGTTGCTCTGGCCCAGTCTGTGTATATGTGTTTTGTGTGTGTATATATGTGTATATATGTATGTTTGCCTATATGTATGTGGTTTTGCGCATGCGTTGTAATACATTTTTATTTTTTGGCTTTTTAAGTTTCTTCTGCTGTGTTTTTCAGTGTTTTTATGAGTGGTGGTCACTCGTTGGCCTGATAGGTGTCTTGTGTCCAAATCTGGTGTCAATTCGTCCAGTGGTTTTTGAGTTATGTTAATCCCACAAACGAACATTACATTTTTATTTATATAGTTTATTATTATATAATTATTAACAATACTTTTAAGGCTGGATGGCCATTTGTCGGGAAAGCTTCGATTGTGCTTTTTCTACCTGCCAGACATGGGGTTGGATTGGATTGCCCGTGTGGTCTCTTCCAACTCTATTATTATTATTATATAATTATTAACAATATTTTTAAGTCTGGATGGCCATCTGTCGGGAAAGCTTCGATAGTGATTTTTCTACCTGGCAGACATTGGGTTGGATTGGATTGCCCATGTGGTCTCTTCCAACTCTATTAGTATTATTATATAATTATTAACAATATTTTTGAGGCTGGATGGCCATCTGTCGGGAGAGCTTTGATTGTGCTTTTTCTACCTGGCAGACATGGGGTTGGATTGGATTGCCCATGTAGTCTCTTCCAACTCATTATTATTATTATTATTATTATTATTATTATTATATAATTATTAACAATATTTTTTAGTCTGGATGGCCATCTGTCAGGAGAGCTTTGATTGTGCTTTTCCTGTCTGGCAGACATAGGACTGGATTGCCCATGTGGTCTCTTCCAACTCTATTATTATTATTATTATTATTATTATTATTATTATATAATTATTAACAATATTTTTGAGGCTGGATGGCCATCTGTCGGGAGAGCTTCGATTGTGCTTTTTCTACCTGGCAGACATGGGGTAGGATTGGATTGCCCATGTGGTCACTTCCAACTCTATTATTATTATTATTATTTAATTTTTAACAATATTTTTGAGGCTGGATGGCCATCTGTCAGGAGAGCTTTGATTGTGCTTTTCCTGCCTGGCAGACATAGGATTGGATTGCCCATGTGATCTCTTCCAACTCTTTTATTATATTATTATTATTATTATTATTATTATATAATTAACAATATTTTTGAGTCTGTTTGGCCATCTGTCGGGAGAGCTTCGATTGTGCTTTTTCTACCTGGCAGACATGGGGTTGGATTGGATTGCCCATGTAGTTTCTTCCAACACTATTATTATTATTATTATTATTGAATTAATAACAATATTTTTGAGTCTGTTTGGCCATCTGTCGGGAGAGCTTCGATTGTGCTTTTTCTACCTGGCAGACATGGGGTTGGATTGGATTGCCCATGTGGTCTCTTCCAACTCTATTATTTATACATGGCTATCATATCTCCTCTCATCCTTCTCTTCTTCAGCCTAAACATGCCCAGCTCCTTAAGCCGCTCCTCATAGGGCTTGTTCTCCAGTTCCTTGATCATTTTAGTCGCCCTCCTCTGGACACATTCCAGCTTGTCAATATCTCTCTTCAACTGTGGTGCCCAGAATTATTATTATTATATAATTTTTAACAATACTTTTGAGTCTGGATGGCCATCTGTCGGGAGAGCTTCAGTAGTGCTTTTTCTACCTAGCAGACATGGGGTTGGATTGGATTGCCTATGTGGTCTCTTCCAACTCTATTAATATTATTATATAATTATTAACAATATTTTTGAGTCTGTTTGGTCATCTATCGGGAGAGCTTCGATTGTGCTTTTTCTACCTGGCAGACATGGAGTTGGTTTGGATTGCCCATGTGGTCTCTTCCAACTCTATTATTATTATTATTATTATTATTATTATTATTATTATATAATTATTAACAATATTTTTGAGTCTGTTTGACCATCTGTCGGGAGAACTTCAGTAGTGCTTTTTCTACCTGGCAGACATGGGGTTGGATTGGATTGCCCATGTGGTCTCTTCCAACTCTATTATTATTATTATCGAATTAGTAACAATATTTTTGAGGCTGGATGGCCATCTGTCAGGAGAGGTTTGATTGTGCTTTTCCTGCCTGGCAGATATAGGATTGGATTGGATTGCCTATGTGGTCTCTTCCAACTATATTATTATTATTATTATTATTATTATTATTATTATTATTATATAATTATTAACAATATTTTTGAGTCTGGATGGCCATCTGTCGGGAGAGCTTCGATTGTGCTTTTTCTACCTGGCAGACATGGGGTTGGATTGGATTGCCCATGTGGTCTCTTCCAACTCTATTATTTATACATGGCTATCATATCTCCTCTCATCCTTCTCTTCTTCAGGCTAAACATGCCCAGCTCCTTAAGCCGCTCCTCATAGGGCTTGTTCTCCAGTCCCTTGATCATTTTAGTTGCCCTCCTCTGGACACATTCCAGCTTGTCAATATCTCTCTTGAATTGTGGTGCCCAGAATTATTATTATTATTATATAATTATTAACAATATCTTTGAGTCTGGATGGCCCTCTGTCGGGAGAGCTTCGATTGTGCTTTTTCTACCTGGCAGACATGGGGTTGGATTAGATTGCCTATGTGGTCTCTTCCAACGCTATTAATATTATTATATAATTATTAACAATATTTTGAGTCTGGATGGCTATCTGTCGGGAGAGCTTCAATTGTGCTTTTTCTACCTGGCAGATATGGGGTTGGATTGGATTGCCCATATGGTTTCTTCCAACACTATTATTATTATTATTATTATTATTATTATATAATTATTAACAATATTTTTGAGTCTGGATGGCCATCTGTCGGGAGAGCTTCGATTGTGCTTTTTCTACCTGGCAGACATGGGGTTGGATTGACCATGTGGTCTCTTCCAACTCTATTAATATTATTATATAATTATTAACAATATTTTTGAGGCTGGAATGCCATCTGTCAGGAGAGCTTCAATTGTGCTTTTTCTACCTGGCAGACATGGGATTGGATTGCCCATGTGGTCTCTTCCAACTCTATTATTATTATTATTATTATTATTATTATTATTATTATTATTATTATTATTATAATATAATTTTTAACAATATTTTTGAGTCTGGATGGCCATCTGTCGGGAGAGCTTCGATTGTGTTTTTTCTACCTGACAGACATGGAGTTGGATTGGATTGTCCATGTGGTCTCTTCCAACTCTATTATTATTATTATTATTATTATTATTATTATTATTATATAATTTTTAACAATATTTTTGAGTCTGGATGGCCATCTGTCGGGAGAGCTTCGATTGTGTTTTTTCTACCTGACAGACATGGAGTTGGATTGGATTGCCCATGTGGTCTCTTCCAACTCTATTATTATTATTATTATTATTATTATTATTATTATATAATTATTAACAATATTTTTGAGTCTGGATGGCTATCTGTCGGGAGAGCTTCGATTGTGCTTTTTCTACCTGGCAGACATGGGGTTGGATTGGTTTGCCCATGTAGTTTCTTCCAACACTATTATTATTATTATTATTATTATTATTATTATTATTGAATTAATAACAATATTTTTGAGTCTGTTTGGCCATCTGTCGGGAGAGCTTCGATTGTGCTTTTTCTACCTGGCAGATATGGGGTTGGATTGGATTGCCTATGTGGTCTCTTCCAACTCTATTATTTATACATGGCTATCATATCTCCTCTCATCCTTCTCTTCTTCAGGCTAAACATGCCCAGCTCCTTAAGCCGCTCCTCATAGGGCTTGTTCTCCAGTCCCTTGATCATTTTAGTCGCCCTCCTCTGGACACATTCCAGCTTGTCAATATCTCTCTTGAATTGTGGTGCCCAGAATTATTATTATTATTATATAATTATTAACAATATCTTTGAGTCTGGATGGCCATCTATCGGGAGAGCTTTGATTGTGCTTTTTCTACCTGGCAGACATGGGGTTGGATTGCCCATGTGGTCTCTTCCAACTCTATAATAATAATAATAATAATAATAATAATAATATATTATTATTATTATTATTATTATTATTATTATTATTATTATATAATTTTTAACAATATTTTTGAGACTGGATGGCCATCTGTCAGGAAAGGTTTTATTGTGCTTTTTCTACCTGGCAGACATAGTATTGGATTGCCCATGTGGTCTCTTCCAACTCTATTATTATTATTATTATTATTATTATTATTATTATTATTAACAATATTTTTGAGTCAGGATGGCCATCTGTCGGGAGAGCTTTGATTGTGCTTTTCCTGCCTGGCAGACATGGGCCTTGGGATCTCTCTCTACTCTCTGTTTGCCCTAGTTCACTGTCCTGGACCTCGCTTTAAGGAGCCGACCAATGAAAAGCGCTGCCTTCAAAATCAGCCAAGGCCCCGCCTCCTCCCCTTCGTTCAGATAAGAAAGGGTTACCTGGAGCCTCGCCCCTTTAATTGGCGGTGGGCGAATGGGAGGCGAGGGGCGTGGCTTGGTAAAGGTGGGCTGGGGAGGCTGCCTGCCTGGACCAGAGGCTGGGCGGCGGGTGAAGGCAGAGATGGGGAGGCCAGCGTGTAGTGCATCCCTGCAGCCTCGATGAGCGCGGATAGCGGGGCCTGGAGCAGGCAGCCGGTAAGGGACGCCGGGCGGAGGAGGGGCGAGGGGTTCTCCGCGCCTGGAAGCGGATGCCGGGTCGGAAGTCTCCGAGGAGTGAAACTGTTTCCATCCAAAGGAGACCGAGCAGGGAAAGAAGAGGCAAGAGGAGTCCCATCCTATCCAAAGACAGCTAAGTCTCCAAAAAAGGACCTGCTCTTATGAGACAAACTCCCCAGAAGGAAGGAAATCATTATTATTCTTTGCCATTTAGATATAGATTATAGAAAGCAAAATAATATATTTTTTAAATCAGCTGCCTGGTTTTGCACAAAATTGAGCCCAATCGGTGACTCTTTGGGAATCCCTTTTCTCCTGGGATCCCGTCTAGCCCCACTGCTTGTATTCCCAGGCGAGAAGGTTCAGGTCCGATTTCCCGGAGAGAGACTCAAATACCCAGAGCGAGACCTTGAACTCAGCTAAGGGCAGGACTCTGCGGACCGCCTGCGATAGGGCAGTGCCAGGCCAAATCTGGCAGGAGGAGCAGGAAGGAAGCAGGGCCGGGCCAATGCCAGAGGGAGCTGGAGAGCTGACCAAATCCAAAGGCGGACTTTTATCTTAATTGTAAAGTAAAGCGGAAAACAAGGCTGACTTTTGAGGATTAAAGAAAAACTAAAACAATTAAAAAAAAACTTCACCAGGAAAGCTGCTTGGTTTTGCACAAAATTGAGCCTAATCGGTGACTCCTTGGGAACCCTTTTTCTCCCAAGTCAAGTGGGATCCTGTCTAGTCCCACTGCTTATATTCCCAAGCGAGAAGGTTCCGCTCCGATTTCCCGGAGAGAGACTCAAATACCCAGAGCGAGACCTTGAACTCGGCTAAGGGCAGGACTTTTATCTTAATTGTAAAGTAAAGTGGAAAACAAGGCTGACTTTTGAGGATTAAAGAAAAACTAAAATATTTTTTTTAAAAAAACTTCACCAGGAAAGCTGTTTGGTTTTGCACAAAATTGAGCCTAATTGGTGACTCCTTGGGAACCCTTTTTCTCCCAAGTCAAGTGGGATCCCGTCTAGTCCCACTGCTTATATTCCCAGGCGAGAAGGTTCAGGTCCGATTTCCCGGAGAGAGACTCAAATACCCAGAGCGAGACCTTGAACTCAGCAAAGGGCAGGACTTTGGGAACCACCTGCGATAGATAAGAGAGGAGGGCAGTGCCAGGCCAAATTTGGCAGGAGGAGTAGGAAGGAAGCAGGGCCAGGCCAATGCCAAGGGAGCCGGAGAGCTGACCAAATCCAGACTTTGATCTCAATCTTAAAGCAAAGGGGAAAATAAGTCCGACTTTAGAGGATTAAAGAAAAACTATTTAAAAAAAACTTCACCAGGATAGCTGCCTGGTTTTGCACAAAACTGAGCCCAATCAGTGACTCCTTGGGAATCCCTTTGCTCCCAAGCCATGTGGGATCCCGTCTAGCCCCACTGCTTGTATTTCCAGGCGAGAAGGTTCAGGTCTGATTTCTCAGAGAGAGACTCAAATACCCGGAGCGAGACCTTTAACTCTCCTAAGGGGCAGGGCTTTGCAAACCGCCTGTGATAGATAAGAGAGAGGAGGGTAGTGCCAGGCCAAATCTGGCAAGAGGAGCAGGAAGGAAACAAATTGGCTGGGCCAATGCCAGAGGGAGCCGGAGAGCTGACCAAATCAAAAGGCAGACTTTTATCTCAATCTTAAACTGAAGGGGAAAACAAGGCTGACTTTTGAGGATTAAAGAAAGACGGAAAGAAATTTTTAAAAAATTTCATCAGGAAGTAGCTGGGGGAGGAAAAGGAATAGTTTCTCAGAGTGGTTCCAAATAGATAAGCCTTACTTTGCTGGCCTCGGAGGGCATCAAGGTGTTGAAGGCCACATTCGGCACTGCTGCAGATTGGCTCCGGTGCCAAACAAACAAGACGTTTGCAAACAAGAGTCATCCCCGGCCGTGTCGTAAGATGGAGAAAGGTTTGGCAAGGTGAATGCAGACCCCTCTGTGAGATCATTGCAAACTGATCTTGTCATGAGACTCGGGGTTGTGCTTTGGATTTGCGTCGTCCCTTCTGGCCTGGCTTGGATGACTTCTCTTTCCAAGATCTCCCTACTGACGGAGCGGGCCTCCTTTTTCCAATAAGGAGTCTCGCGGGTTCTGCGCGAACCTATGCAGGCCAGGAAAAAATACATCTTGATGACTTTCTTTGCCACTTGGCTCCTGCTCTCCCTGTTTGGAGGCGACCAAATACGACGCTTTGCCTTCCTGCCCAGCAAGAAATCTGGGGCGCTGCGAAGCTGGCCGCGCTGGGCAGACGGGCTCCTCCTGGAGAGCTTTGCGGACCCTGAGCAGCTTGAGAGCAATGAGGGGGACCCTGAGGAGCAGCCCCCCAAAGCTCGGCGAGAGTTGAGGAGGAACATCTACAGGAACAGCCGCTGCCGTATGGAGACCTGCTTCGATGCCTCCAAGTGCCAGGAGCATGGCTTCAAAGTCTTCGTCTACCCCTTGGAAAGGGGGGACCCCGTGTCGGAAAGTTACCTCAAAATTGTCGCCTCCTTGGAAGAGTCGCGGTACTTCACTTCCAACCCCGAAGAGGCCTGCCTCTTTGTCCTCAACATTGACACGCTGGATCGGGACCACCTCTCCCCGCGCTATGTCCGTGGCATCGACGAGAAAATCCAAGGCTTCCCTCTCTGGAACGACGGCCGCAACCACCTCATATTCAACCTCTATTCAGGCACATGGCCAAACTATACCGAAGACTTGGGCTTTGACATTGGTCAAGCCATCCTAGCCAAGGCCAGCTTCTACATGGAACACTTCCGCCCCGGTTTTGACATCTCCATCCCTTTGTTTTCCAAGGATCATCCCCGGAAAGGCGGGGAGAAAGGCTGGCTGCACAAGGCCTCGGTCCCGCCAAAGAAAAAGTACCTCTTGGTTTTTAAAGGGAAGCGGTACCTGACGGGAATCGGGTCCGACACCAGGAACGCTCTCCATCATATCCACAACGGCAAAGACATCATTTCCCTGACTACGTGTAAACATGGGAAAGACTGGGAGAAGCACAAGGACAAGCGGTGCGATAAGGACAATGCAGACTACGAAAAGTAAGTGTGGGAGCTTTTTGTGTGTGAAACTAGCCTAAAGTGAGGGCTTTTGGGACCAAAATTCCATAGCCTGCATGGCCGCTGATAATGCCAGTGGAAGCTTTCCATGAGTTGTAGGTTGAAAAAGTGGTTTTTCCAATCTCTGATTCATCCACAGCATGGAACAAGGGCTACATCTACACTCTAGAATCCATACTGGGCCTTTCCACCCATCCATGTTGTTGGGCGGGTGGGCTTAATAACAAAAGACCCTCCCCATAAATGTACAGCAGAGTAACTTAGCAGCAGCAGCGTGACCCAGCACCAGTAGCCCAAAGTGATAAAAATAACAAGAACACACAGAACAATGTTATCTCCTCCATAGGAGGTTTTTCTTTGTAGTAAAATAATAAAGTTGCACTATTTACAAGAACAAGGTTTCCATGACACAAATAAGCAAATACACAGTAGCACACAGCAGTCTTCACACTGGAGCTTTCTCACACGAGGCTTCTCTCACACAGAGGTTTACCTCATACTCCTCAGGACAGCACTAGCTTTGGCCCACTAACTCTAACCGGCTTCAGCCTACTAACTCTTTCAGAGCTTGACTCACACTTTTGTAATAACAATACCCAGTTAATTTTTAATATTTTTACACATGTAACCCAGAATATCAAGGCAGATAATAATAATAATAATAATAATAATAATAATAATAATAATAATATACTTTATGTATATTCTGCTCTATCTCCCTGAGGGGACTCACAATGGATTTCAGAATACATTTTTATGGCAAACATTCAATGCCATTATACAATTAACAACAAAGGCAGACAGTACAAGGCTTCCCTCTTTTTCATTCCTGGCATCTGGAGGCTGTGCTCAACTTGGCCATGGGGAGGTGCTGTTGTTCCATATTCCCATGCCGAGGAGCCTGTGGTCCATGGGTGCCTTTTTCCTGATCAAATTGCCAATATGTCTTCAGGGGTGCCTTTTGAATTCCTCCCAAAGGGGTACCTATTTATCTACTCACATTTCTGTTTCCTGACTGCTAGGTAAGCAGAAGCTAGGGCTGATGGCAGGAGCTCACTCCACTCACGGCTTGAATTGCCAACCTTCTGGTAGGCAAGATTTGCTGTATCTGGTGGTTAAACCCAGTATCCACAATATCTGCTTTGAACTGGGATATCTGAGTCCACAGTGCTGTATAATGCAGCTCAGTGTGGATTTTATATACCTGTGTGGAAGGACCCGCAGTTTAACACTACTTTGAACTGCCATTTCTCATTATTATACACAACAAGATTAGTAAACAGCAAGCAAAATCACTATACTGGCTTTTGTATTGGATCTCACGTTGGACACTTCCCAAGTGTCCAGGACTGTGTGATGTATCAGCGAATAATGCGTGCAGATCTGAGTAAGGTGGCCTTTTGCAGCTGAAAGATGGTAATTTTGTCAGTGCCATTGTTTTTAAGTGCAGGCCAAGGTCTTTAGGCGCTGCACCCAGTGTGCCGATCACCACTGGGACCACCTTGACTGGCTTGTCTTTGCAGTTCAATCTTTAAATCCTCATATCGTGTAAGCTTTTCCAGTTGCTTCTTGTCAATTCTGCTGTCATTATTATTATTATTATTATTATTATTATTATTATTATTATTATTATTTCTACACTGCTTTATCTCTCCTACAGGAGAAATAACATAACATAAAAATATAAGCATACATCCTAAAATATACAAATATGCAAACATTAAAACAGGATTAAATATAAACCGTATTCAGAAATTCCCAGTTAAAAACCATTCAAACACATTCAAAGTTCTACGCCTCTCATGTCTATCATGTTGAGCACTATGCAGTCCTGGGAATTGCAGTTCTGCAATTTTACAAGGTCTTTAGCCTTCTGCCAAAGAGTGCCCTGCCAAACTACAAACTCCCAGGATTCCATAGCATTGAGCCACGGCAGTTAAAGTGGTGCCAAACTGCATTAATTCTATAGTGTGGATGCACCCAAGTTTTGGACACTAGTTTGCACAGAGTATGGAAAAGCAGCATTCATATCTGATTGACCCGTGGCCCATGTTCCTGTTGGAAATTCTTTAGAAATCTTGGATGATCAACGGCACATACTCATTTTCATGAAGCTTGCGCAAAATAATTTCCCAATCGCTCGTGTCCTACCTTAATAAGTATGTATAAGGTGTAATTATTGTTTTCTGCCTCGGGCACCAAAATGTTTGGGGCGAGCCCTTGCCGTATCTGTAATTTATCTTCCAGATGCCTCAGCAGGGAGGCTTGTGTGGTAAGGAAAACGGGGATTCAGCAAAATGAAAAAATGCAAGTGTTGTAGAATTCCCGTCCTCAAAAGCTAGGACATTTTGAAAGCCTTGGGAGCTAGGCTGTTAGTATGTGCGCCGTGTAGCGATGTGTCAGCATCACCCTGTGCAAATATCATTAGGTTGTTTACCCAAACGTTGACTCATACTCAGTCACTGCTCCTTACTGTTTGTCCCTGGAATCTTTTGCATCTGCAGGGCTTAGCTCTGGAACTTGGAAAATGGTGATATGTCTCTGAACGTGTGCAGAATGTTTTCCTTGGATTCAAAAGGAGGGTTTCTCTGTTAGAGAAGGGCTTTCCATCTCCCAAAACTAGAGCCTCGATACCTCCTCTTTGGGTATATGAACAACTATTATCAGCAATATTTTGATGCCTTAGAGGTAGTGAACTCTCATCCTATGGAGGTCTTTAAACAAAGTTGAATGACCATCTCTCAGGAGTGCTTTAGTTGTGTATCCCTATATCGAAAGTGGGTGGACTAAATGGCCCTTGCCTGCCCATTGATTCTATGCAAAGTGCATTTTCTTTTGCAATGTCTTAGCTGGAAAGGCAGAGGAGAGTAAGGGTACACCTACACTGTAGAATTAATGCAGTTTGACACCACTTTAACTGCCATGGCTAAATGCTGTGGAATCCTGGGATTAGTATTTTGGTGAGGCACCAGTCCTGTTTGGGAAGGAAAGCATTGTAAAATGGCAACTCCCAGATTCCCATAGCAATTAAAGTGGTGTCAAACTACATTAATTCTACGGTGTAGATTCACCCTAAGTTATCATGAAACTTTCTTTTTTTCTTCCCTTCCTTCCATTCCCTTTCCCCCTTTCTTTTTGAACAGCTAAGTTTGATGAAAAGTTTGGTGTGACCCTCAATTGGTCTGGAGCAATGTTTCTCAACCTGGGTGTCGGAACCCCTGCTTTCTGGATGTAGGTGAACTACAACTCCAAAACTCAAGGTCAATGCCCACCTGACCCTTCCAGTATTTTCTGTTGGTTGTGGGAGTCCTGTGTGCCAAGTTTGGTTCAATTCCATACTTGGTAGAGCTCTTTGATTGTAGGTGAACTAAAAATCCCAGCAACTACAACTCCCAAATGACAAAATCAACCCCCCCAACCCCACCAGTATTCAAATTTGGGCGTATCAGGTATCTGTGCCAAATTTGGTCCAGTGAATAAAATGCATCTTGCATATCAGATATTTACATTACAATTCATAACAGTAGCAAAATGACAGTTATGAAGTCGCAACAAAAATAATGTTATGGTTGGGGGTCACCACAACACGAGGAACTGTATTGAGGAATCATGGCGTCATGGCACCAGAGCCCCCGATGGCACAGTGGGTTAAACCCCTGTGCTGGCAGGACTGAAGACTGGCAGGTTGCAGGTTCGAATCCAGGGAGAGGCGGATGAGCTCCCTCTATCAGCTCCAGCTCCTCATGCGGGGACATGAGAGAAGCCTCCCACAAGGATGATAAAAACATCAGAATCATCCAGGCGTCCCCTGGGCAACGTCCTTGCAGATGGCCAATTTTCTCACACCAAAAGCGACTTCTGACATGACAAAAAAAAATGGCATTATGAAGGTTGAGAAATACTGGTCTGGAGGACATTACTAATTTATTTATTTGTTTATTTATTTATACACTTGTATACCGCTAATATCTCAGCCTAAGTCGGCGACTTCATTGCGGTTTACAACAATTAAAAACAGTATTCAATTTAAAACATAAAACACGTATACAATACAAATTATTGGGCCACCAATAATAATCCCATGCATCTCATAAGTAAAATCACAATCCAAAATTCGTCGTCCATGATTACCAGTCCTTTAGTCGTCAAGATTCGTTAAGACGGATTAACCGAATGCTTGTATAAACATCCATGTTTTCAATCTTTTCCGAAACACCATCAGCGAGGAGGCTGATCGTACCTCTATAGGGAGGGTGTTCCAAAGCCGAGGGGCCACCACAGAGAAGGCCCTGTCTCTCGTTCCCGCCAGCCGCACTTGTGAAGCCGGCGGGATAGAGAGCAGGGACTCTCCAGAAGATCTTAGGGTCCTGGTGGGCTGATAGGCTGAGATACGTTCGGATAGATAAGTTGGGCCAGAACCGTTTAGGTAATGTATTTTTTCCTGTGTATTGTGCTTGATGATCAATATTGGAAACTGCATTTAGTAATAACTTTCAGTTAACATGCACGTTTTGCCTAATTTAAGAATTAACCTACTTACATTAACATTTGTACGTCAAATTAACACTCCTAAGTCAGTGAGTGCCAGGTGCTAAATATATTGAACATCGCTTCTGTGATATCAGATTTCTCCTTCTTTTGAAGCTATTGATCCAGTTGAGCCAGCTCCTTTATCAAGGTTTGAAATACATAATGGATTTGAGCTTCTCTGTGCTGGTCAACTGTGTTTTCTTACTGTAATTGCCGTAGTCGTCTTAATTTGAAAATACAAGCAGTCCCCAAGTTACAAACAAAATAGGTGCTGTAGGTTTATTCTTAAGTTGAATTTTCATGTAAGTCAGAACAGGTATATATATCTATATCTATATAAATAATAAAGTAATGTTCGTTTGTGGGATTAACATAACTCAAGAAGCACTGGATGAATTGCTGCCAAATTTGGCCACAAGACACTTACTAATCCAAGGAGTGACCATCATTTA